ACATCCAAATAACTACTTTCTTGTTGTCTGTTTCATCAAATGGGTATTAGTTCCATACATTTTTTTAAACAAAAGTCACATCACAATCTCCAATTTTTTGGATTTTGATATTGTATACATGTATACGGTGAAATGCTTTATTTATAGTACGAAATGAAAACTTACTATTATATTGCATTTTTATATGACTATTATGTCATACTATATATGATGACAATATTAGCCCATTTATCATATCCAATCTCCTTTATTAATTATTTATGTGACAGAATTTGTACACAATGTTTTACATATTAAATTGATACGGCATATCTCAATAAGAATTTATTGAAACAAGTTTTATTTTTTCTCTACAAATATGTCAATAATTTGATCAAGGGCATATTGCTATCATTTTTGTTTTGTATGAAAAGTAAATCACAATAGTTTGTTTGATACTAAGAAAATTTTCATTCTTTTATACGCATCACTACACTTATACTAAAGAACTAGTATAGAGTAAATTAAGTCTCTGAACAAATTTATAATTGTGTTGGCACATATCAATAACTTATGTATTTTCTTTTATCGTGTATAGTGACACACAAAGAATTTTCCTTGGAAAAAGAAACTTTCAAGGAATATCCATGAGAATATGAACTTTCTCTTGAAAATAGATTTCTCATGTGCTTGATGTTATATACATAGTATGTAGTACCAAGTATTTCTTTTTAGATTTTTTTAATAGTAGCTTTGCTAATATTGAACAAAAAGAATATCTTTCATCTTAAAGCTTAGTATGAATGTTATTTATTCGTATGAGATTTGTATTAATTTAATTATCTCATTAATTTATCTCAAGACGTAATTTGGGAGATTTGGTCATCTTGACTAAATGGATACCTATGTGCTTGTTAAAACCAATGAGTACAAAGAAACACATGCCTGAAACAATAGGATATATGATGTCTACCTTATTTAGCTCGAGATCATAGCACTCTAAAGTATATGAGTGACATTTACAAATTATTGTATCATACACAATAAATTAAGGAATGTATATTTATTGAATGTGATTATCATCGGGATATATATAACTTGAAAATATACTTTTAGTTTTAATCTTCGTAGAATCTCTAAAGAACAAGAGATTCACCGCATGAGAATATAAATTAAGTTTCATGATTGTCTACTATTTTGAGAAAAAGAACATTCTCTAATTGTTGGGTTTATCCATTTTTTTTATTTTACTCTTTCATGAGTTTTATAAAAATGAACATTACTACTTCTAATTATACTTTTATTCAAGTCTTAAAGCCTGGTATAAATTATATTCGTTTGAGATTTTTAATTAATTTAACATCTCATTGTTCTATCTTAAATTATATTTGAGATGTTTATGCATTCGAATTCATTAAATGCATATCTATGAATTTTATTCATAAAAGAATGGATACAAAGAAATATATCCATAAAATAGTAGAATGATATGTACCACATTCGACTTGAGGTCATAGCACTCTAAGGTATATGAGTGACATTTGTAAATTATTGCAATCTATAACAAATAGGTGTTTTAACACATTGTGGTGATGCACAATAAATTAAGGAATATATATTTATCGAAATAATTCCTTAAAATCATTTATGATTGAAAGAATTGTACCAATGACCTCTAAATGCATCTAGAAGTCACCAAAGTTTGCTACGTTCTAAATTTGTTCATCACAATAGTCCTCACATAGAATGGAATCATGTCATGAGTTCGAATCTGGTGAGCAGCCTCTTGTCAAAGTAACAACAATGGCTTTATATACCTTTGTGGGGCTTCCCCGAACTCTCACAATGTGAGGACACCAATGTCCACCGAGGTACCCTCAATGTTTTTTTAACATAGAAACTCGCTATAAAAATGAGATAGAAAATATTAGATTGCATCTGATAAATGCAAAAGAAAATGCATATTTAAGCAGGTTATGAGTCAAAGTGGTCATTGACTCATACAAACTTTGAAATAACTCATTCAGGTTATTAATCATTCGAAGAGAGGATGAAATGAGATCCAACATAATGTAAGTTGTTGGTTTTAGCATTGATAAATATAAAAACAATATCAATCTTCTAAAGAACGAGAAGAAATATTTACCTTTCGTTATGCCTTACAGATATAATAGAAGGCACGTCAGTTATTTCATAAAGTTTACTCCTTAGTAATAATGGAATCAAGACTTGTCTATGCTAGGGATATAACAATAAAGATATCTCATTTTTTTTCAGATCAATGTGACATGTGAGAACTTACCTACCAAAATGCGGACCATTTAAGTAATTATGGTTTGGTAGAAATTTCCCCATGCTATCTATTTTTCTGTTACATAAAAATGTTGCGTTCGCAAATCTTCTAGCAAAAATTATTCAAGGGCCCACCACCTGACCAATCAAGTATATGACTTGTTACTGCTGGACAGTTCTCGTCTACAGTACTTGATGAGTATTGCATATTTGTCGAGATTATTGAAATATATCTTGCATCCCATGTGAAAAATAAGATATCACTAAAACTCACATATAAAAGAATGTTGATGGTGAATATTATATCTATTATGCGCGCAATAATTACACATTTTATGGGATTATGCAATATTGCAAGCACTCTTACACATTTGTTTTTTTAGATCGATAGTAGACAACCACTTTTATGTATACCAATTAGTGACTGGATCTTAGCCTGAGATGTTCTACATATTTATTACATATGGTTGTTAACTGATTGTGCCCAGTGCGTCTCCCACAGTGCACTACAATTGGTCTTAAGAAAAAAATGATTTTGTGTTGGATACGAATCTCCAACAATAACCTGCTATTAGTCTTAACAGATAATGTGTGCCCGCTTTGCGGGATATTAGAGACAATTGATTTTCCTGTCATTAGGGGAGATTAGAGAAAGAACTCTCTAATTGAATGACAAAATCATTATGATGGTACATCACTACTTTGTCTCAATGATAAATCTTAGACTTCAAAATGTAACATTGAAGTTAAAGTAAATGATTTAAATAATTAGATTATACACACTAGCTGCAAACATATTTATAAGGCTTGAATTTAAATTAAAAAATAATGCTAAAGCAAGAAGCATTGCAATCACAAGCAGTGGGGTTGTGGTTGAGGATGTGCCTCTCTAAAAGAATAGAGGGAAGCCACATGGTTCGATTAATTATCCACCCCAAGTATTAGAGGGTAGATAAGGCACAAACCAATATATTCATCATCATATGAATTCCTCTCACGAGATTATCTCTGACTAAATATGTCCATAAATCAATAATGGGGGACGCCCCGAAGTTTAAATGATTTCAGAGAATTAAAATCTCAATGTTAATGAGAGCGTGTATGAGTCGAATGATAGACCTTACTGACGATATATTTATACAGTTGCTCGAAAGAGCATAGAGCACGATGATATCGAACCATACTCTATTGCAATATGAAAGCAATGAGAATATTGGCCTAAATGCGTACAAGTAATCCAGGTATAAATTTAATATTTGACAAAGAGACAGGTATTTGGTATGATAGTGTTAATCAACTAAGTGTAAAGCCTGTAGGACATGAAATAATTCTTTGTTAGAAAGCGTACTCAGATAATGATTTCATAATTATTCTCACAACGCCCTGGATTCAAATATGAAAAATTATACTTCTCTATTTTGAACACAAAAATGTTCAACTACTTAATCCATAAGTAGACTCCAAAGTAATGGAGACGTAGCTAAAGATTGTGGATATTAAATGTCTCAATAGAATTTCATTAAAGAGATGTATATGAAGTATTTGTTATGTTTTTATTATCTTTAATCAAGTGGTTTTAAATTACATTGTATATTTACATTGAAACGTTCACATTTGGATTAAATCAATCCAGACGAGAGTGACATACCCGTCTAAGTGACCACTTGACTGAAAAGGGATAGAAAAAGATAGATTATGCTTTCCCTCCAAGTATCATTATATGTCGAAGATATAGACATGGTATGTACTCATATTAAAGAAAATGAGAAATCCTAGATACTTGAAAGTCATGATTGAGATAAAGGATCTTGGGAAACTCGGGTTCTTTTGAAAACACCGAGTTGGTTGAATAATAATTCACCAGTTGCATATATCCAAAAGGGTTCTCAGGCAAATTAACATGGATAAATGTAAACTATTAGCACTCCCATGATTGGTCAAAATATGGATGCTAGAAAATATATCCATTATTGAAAAATTATTGGGAGAAGGAATTCCCTATGAAAGTGCAATATGCGCATGATTGTACTTTGACAAACACATTCGACCAAATAATACATTCTCAAGAACGTGGTAGCTGAAAATAGCTGAGGACCAATACATCGTATATCATCATTGAAATGGTATCAAGAATGTACTTTGATATCTATATGAAACCATTGGTGTAATCTTGATTCATCCCTTATAAATTAATTAAATGATTGATGATAATAATATTTCTAAAGGAATTGGAAATGTCAAAAGTATCACTCTAACACAAAGTAACGTCATTTGAGTTTTACCGATGATGGATATCCCCTTACCTCATTGATACTTTCTTAAATGAGTATATATTTACCATGAAAGAAACCAAGATGTTATATACGGAATACCTTGATAAAAGTATATATCAAGTACATATCGAATTCTTATTGTTGTGTTGCATTCAAGGGGGTCCTTACATACTTATTTATCATCACCTATATTGGTGCGTTGTACTCTTTTTCTTTTCCCTTTTTGACCAAGGTTTATTTTTTCTCATTGGATTTTGTTACTTGGTAAGTTTTTTTTTAATGAGACAACATCATATGCACTATCCCACATTTTAATTTTGCGAAACTAAAACAATGTTGAAGAAAGAACATAATTACTATATCGCAGTCAAAAGTAATTGACGCGTAGGTATTACTACACCATACTTCCTTTTCACTTTGACCGATGTTTATTTTTTCCCATTGGGTTTTCTTCATTGGCAACGTCTTCGCAAGTTAATAATTTGGGAACTACGCTCGACACACAGGGGGAGAATTAAAGGAATTATATTCCTCTATTGTGTGCCTTCGCTAAGGTAATTAATGTGACAAGTATTGAAATGCACATATTTTACAAACACCCTTGATTAATGTAAATATTAAGGGTAGATGTAGACTTGAGGGGGAGTACCCCAACTACATTACATTACACTCTTTTCCTTTACCCAAGTTTTATTTTTTTCCACTGGGTTTTGTTACTTGGTAAGGTTTTTAATGAGGTAACAATACATGTAAACTTTAATGATCAAAGCAAAGATCAAATAAAGATAGACTTAATGAAAGAAACCTATCTTGATGCTATACTCTTTTTCTCCGCTCAAGGTATTTTTCCCACAGAGTTTTTGTTACTTGAAAGAGTTTTGAAAAAGCAACAAGGCACATACAACATTCTATCTACAACTCAGCACAAAGGGGAGTGTTGAAGGAAATTCTATGTTGTGTGCTATCATTTAGATAGAATATGAATCAGGGCCTCTCTATGTAAATGATGTATTATGGGCATATTGGTTGGCCCGTACTTGTAAACCCTACTCTATCTCTATTTATATGGGCTTTCGGTAATGAAACTCTACGCTCAATACTCCCTACAACATTCACTTTTCTCTCTTTTCTTTTCTCCTCTTTTTCTCCACCAAGCCCTAACCGCCCAATCTTCTTTTTCTTTTTTCTTTCCTCTCCCCAGTCCCCCCCCCCCCCCGGCAACTCTGCTTCGTGCTCCTACCCCTTCTTTTTTTCTCAGTCTCCCACTTTGTTTTCTTCTTTTGTTTTTTTTTCTTTTACTTATGGATGTAAGATCATCGGTTTGAGCTTTGGTAAGCATCCAATTCTATAAGGGAGTCTATGTTCGAGCTTGGGTCAAAGACCGTATTCATGAGGGAGAACCGACTTGAATTTGGAATTTTTCGTTTCCTAACGCTAAAAATTGATCGGAAAAGACAACTGGAGTAATGGACTCTCCTGAATTTAGCAGGCAATAGGCATTACTCATGAGTAGGGGTGAATCCGGGTCCGATCCCGATTGCAGACCGTGATCGCCCGGTCCTAAAAAAATCAAGTAAATCGAGCTCAACCCACTGTATTTCAAATATGGGCCTGATCTGGGTAACCGGGATATCTGGTCCCCGTCCCGGTCCTCTCAGGCTCAGACCTATTTATTTAGCAAGTTTCAAGCTATAAAAATTGGCCGATCTACGACCAAAATCGTGACCCCCGGTTCAATCCCAAATATTGGAGCCCGGGACCAGACCCACTGGTAACCCGGTCAGGTACCTAATCTAGAACCTGGACCGAAATTACAAATCCGATCCGGTCCTACACAATACTGGACCCATTTCTAGACTGCGGCGGGCCGGACCATCGAACAGGTTTCACCCTTAGTCATGAGTGTTTGCTTCATTGTTGATTCCCATCAGTTGCATGTGGTCGGTATGGAGGCAATAAAGAAACGAAAGAAAAAAAATGATGAAAATGGTGGAGAAGAGCTCAAGAGACAAGAGTCCATTGATACGGCAACTATGATTATAATAGGATTATGATGAAAGGGGGTAAAAGGAAAGTGAAATTAAAAATAGAAAACAGCAAAAAAAAAAAATGAGTGTCAATTGATGGCATAGCACTAGGGGTGGACGGAACCGGGCCGAATCGGCCCGCTACTGTGCGGGCCCGGACCGGGCCCGGACCGGGCCCGGATGGCTGATTCCGGGCTTTAGCCCGGGTTGGACGGGCCTGGCGGGCTTGGCTCGGGCCCTGTTTTTCTTGAACAGGCCCGGGCGGTCCGGGTCCGGCCCGATTCATTTTTTTTTCAATTTTTTTCTTTTCCTTGGGTAGGGCTGGGTTAGGGGTGGACTAGGGTCCGGGTCCGGGCCGGGCCTCCGATTTGGGTATTTTTTTTGCTTTCTTAACCCCCCCACCCCCACCCTCCCAAACCCAGCCTAACCATCAAGCCCAACCCGGATGGAACCCCAAAAATGAAAACAAAAATCAATTTGGCCCGGGCCCGGGCCGGTTCGCCAAATGTGAGACGCGAGCTCAGACCCGCCCTACCCCCGGGCCTAGGCCCGACCCGGACCCGAACCCGAGAACCGGGCCGGTCCCGGTCCCGCACAGTAGCGGGCCGGGCCGGCCCACGGGCCGGGTGGCCCGACCCGAGTCCAACACTAGGCTGGGTGTTTTAAGGAGGTTTAAGGGGTGGGGTGAGGGGGGGGGGGGGGGTTAATTAGAAAGCAAAAAAAATTATACGTTGGACTGGCCCGACCCGGTTTGGTCCGGACCCGGTATCAACCCGGGCCAGTTCTGAGCCCAACATCTGGAAAAAAAAGTCCGGCTTGAACCGGCTCGGGCCCGATTCATGCCTACATAGCCCTCCCCTTCCCGCCTTGGTGTTTTATCTTTACCTGTTTGGTAAGTAACAGATCCACCTAGAATCAATATGACATGAATTTCTTTAGGGATGGATTCGGTTCGGGCCACCCGGCTCGTGACCCGGCCCGGCCCGGTACTGTGCGTGCCCGGGACCGAACCGGTCTGGCGGTCCGGGACCGGGTGTGGACCCGAACCGGTGGGGGAAGAGAGGGCGGGCTCGGTTCCTGCAAAATGTGACCCGGCCCGGCCGGGTCGGGTCCGGGTCCGGGTCACAATGGCTAGTTTTTTTAAAAAAAAAAACTTTGGGCCAAAAAATAACCGTTGGGGTGGGCTGCATGGGGTCCGGGCGGTTTGGGGGTGGGGGGTAAAAAAACCTATAAATACTCTTAACGTTAAACATTTTTTCATATCTCTTTTCCAACTCTTCCTAAATCCTACTCTTAACTCTCTACTCTCTAATTATCTTCATCTTTTCAAATTCTCTTATTCTCCAATATATTATATTTGTATATCTACTTTATATTAATTATCTACTTATAATTTATAAATACATACATTATACTTATATTTCTTATCTAATTATATATTACTTATACATTTATTATATCTATTAATATAGTTCGAATTGTATCTAATTAATTTGAAGTCATTCTATTACTCTCATCCGAAAGACCGAAAGACCGAAAGTACGAAAGAGGTACGAAATCATTCTATTATTTACACTTGTTTAATTTTGTATTAACATTAATTGAAAAAACATTTTCCTGCTTTTATGAAACAATATGATAATTATATTATAAACTCGGCTGAGATCGACACCTGTGAAAAAATTTGTAATGCATTGGTATATTTTAATAATGCAACTGAAACTTTTAGTCATGTTTATAAACCTACCTCAAACCAATTTATTCGTGAAGCTGTTAATCTCGCCGGTGCTTTTTCAAATTTTGAGAATGCTGATTATGTGAGTTGTTTTGCTAGTTTTATGAAGGAAAAGTTTTTAAAATATTATTCACATATTCCGCATATTTATGGTATTGCATTTGTTCTCGATCCTCGTTTTAGACTTGGTTCTTTAGAAGAATGTTTGAATTATTATTATGCTGCTTTTTTTTGTCCAATGTCAATGTATGAGGACAACTCAATTGATCCGAAAAAAGAATACATCGAGGTTAGTGATATATTTTATGCATTATTTAATGAGTTTCATGCACGATATGGCAACGTGCCCCGTCCCCGACACAAACATCATCTAAAGGAAAATCAATTTTCAAATCTACATTTGTCAATCTTATTAAAAAACGAAATCAACTCCCGCTACGCAACAAAGCACAATTAATGAGATTTCTTTGTATTTAACATACGATGTTGATTTTGAAGAAGATGAGTATTTTGACGTGCTAAACTGGTGGAAGGGAAAAGAAAGAATGTTCCCGGTTTTAGCAAAGATGGCTAAGCAAGTGCTATCAATGTCGGTTTCAACAGTTGCTGTGGAACAAGAATTTAGTTCGGCCGGCAATGTCTTAACGCAATGTAGAACGAGGTTGAGCGCAGAATCTCTTGAGATGCTTATATGCTAGCACGATTGGTTGAAGGCGGCCCGTAGAGCTCAAGAAATTGACATCACCCCATCACAACACTTTATGGATGAATTTACATCCGAGGGTGACTCTACCTATGTCGGAGATTCCGATTGATTGATTTTACCTTCAATTCTCAATTGTAACTTGCAAACTTGTAGTTCATATTTCAAATAAATATACGTTCATTTTTTTATATGTAGCATTTTTTATTGAATTCATAAAATTAATTAATTAATTTTACATTATGTAATTTATTCAAACTAAAACATACAAAAAAAATTGAAATCAAAAGCCCCAAACGGCTATATAGTCGTTGGGCACTTTGAAATTTGAATCAATAGAGGCATAGAGCCGTTGGGGGTGGGGGTGGGGTGGGGGTACAAAAAAAATCTATAAATACTCTTATTTTCTAACATTTTTATACACATCTTTTCCTACATCCAATCTCTAATCTCCATTCTCCATTTTCATCTCCATCTATTGTAGAATTATTATATCTACCATTTTTAAGATGGAAAGTCAATATATCGTTATACGGTATAATTTTGATAAGCAGAAGGACCCGAGGACCGAGATGTGATACGCAACTTGCAAATGGTGCGGGAAAAAGTGTAGCATGGGGGTTTCACGCGGATACAGGATGGCAATGAAGCATATTAAGTTATGTGACAAAGCCAAAGGATCGGGAGGTGCGGGAAGTTCCGATTGATTACAATGTACAAAATGTATTTCATATTGTATGTTTCTCTTAATTGTCAAATGTAGTTCCTATTTCATTTCAAATAAATACACTTGAAGTTTGTTTTTAATACTTGTATAAAACTATAAAGTATAAATTTTTTAAAAAATGGATTTAATCGACCCGACCCGGCGGGTGGCCTAACCCGTGACCCGAGCGGGTGGCCCGACCCAAACCGGACCCGTCCAAACCTCGGACCGGTCCCGGGTCCATAAGTTACAAACCAGCAGCCCAACCGGACCCGACCCGGCCCGAGTCCATGCATAATATTCATATTTGAAAGTTTGAACGCCAATGTTTGGGATTAGTTCATATGAACTTAAAAATGACAAAAACAATCGATAAATTACAACCACAGAACGACACGCTTAGTGTGGTTGTAACAAAATACACAAGAATAATTAAGATCATACTATGGGATGTTTGGATCTGATTCTTAAAAATGTTTCTGCTCCTTCAGGGAGCAAAAGTTGGAATGTTTGAATGAAAGTGCAGAAGTGATTCTTGTGCTCTAATTTACTCCTAGAATCAATTTTTTTTAGAAACTAAGGGTGACCACCTTCTGAAAACTGTTTCTGATTCTGCTTTAAAAAAGAAGCAGAAGCAGAAGAAAAATCAATTCCAAACACCCCCTATGAACGGTAAGGGTATCGAAGTTATTAAAGAGAAGCAGTAAAACAATAACGTCAATTGTGTATGAAAAATATAATCTTCTTATATCATAATTATCCTCAAAGCACGGGTAAAACATTCATCAGTAAAAAAACATGTACCCGACAATAAGAAAAGTGTTATAATTCATCAATGGAGGATTGGGGGTGTGTAATAAATTAATATTAATATAGATATTATTTAAAACAATCAAAGATCAGCTCTTCCAGGGTATCTGGGGAAGGGAATGACATCTCGGATGTTTTCAATCCCGGTTGCAAAGAGAATCATTCGTTCAAAGCCCAATCCGAACCCACTGTGTTTCACTGTGCCATACCGCCTTAGGTCAAGATACCACTCGTATGGCTCTACGGGCAATCCCATCTCCACTATCCTGCAGTTGCACATCGTTCCTTTCCTCTATTAGTCATCTTTTGTGGGAAGAAACTGAATAGTTCACTTTCACTTTTGCCCCCCCCCCAACTTTAATTTTTCTATTTTGATGCACAGCCATGAAATTATTGCCACTTTCAGTCCTTTTGATCACTCACACTGCAAACAATCTAATTAGAAAATATAAGAAATTGGCTAAATAAGTGATCACTGGGACCTAAAGTAGCCAGAAATCAATTTTTGTGCACCAAATTTGAGGAGAACAGGGTACTCTAGGGTTACCATTCCCTTGTTTGGTTGGTACGTTCAAGAGGGGATATATGATTTTTTTATGGGGATATATGATATTCATTTTAATAATTTATTCTTTTATTTTGATGGTTAAAAAGAATGTAAACATCACATATTATATAGAAATACATGACAACCAAATAATGCTCCCCCCTACCTCCATATTTAACTAAACAATCCCTACTCCCTCGGCCAACTTGCCCTTACAGACTAGACAACCAACACACCAGAATGACCAGACCATCATTTACCTTGACCTGAGCACCTCATAATCCTCTTCTCTTTGGCTTCCACCGATAAGCTCTCCTACCTGAAAAACACGAGGTGATTAGAGAATGAAGATTACATAATTATGGCTACAGCAACAAAAAAGTGTACAAAACTTGAAAAGTTTGAGCTAGGTAAGCAAGCAAATTACACCACTTCAATTATAATTTTAGCCTAAATATAGAACAATTGAGAATATATTATGAGTCCCTTTTGAAGGAATATAACCACACAAACAAACAGGCAAACAAACAGACAGACAGATTTAGCAACCTACCCGGTGGACCAACAAGTTAATTTTAAAAATTTATGCGTGTGCAACAATGTTATGGAATTGGCAATCGTACACTACCTTTGGCACAAGAAGATCCATGGCAGCAACTGTCTTATTGTCTTTATTGACCTTCATGTAAAATGCTTTTATCCCTTTCGGATAGTTGTACACAATTACAGGTGCTTTAAAATGTTCTTCAGTCAAATACCTACAGCATAGCTTAGCAATATATGAACAAGGGTAACACAAAAACGCTAAAAAATGCAACAAAAATGATGATAAAAGTTAATACCTTTCATGTTCAGATGCCAAGTCAATCCCCCATTCTACTTTGTTCTCAAACAAATTGACTTTGGCTGCTTCCTCAAGAATGGCAATGGCTTCTGTATAAGTTATCCGAATAAAATCAGATGAAGCAACCAACCTAAGTCTATCAATAGCACCATTGTCTTTATAATTTGCAATATATTCCATGTCATCCATGCAATTGTCAAGTAACCACTGACACATAAACCTCACATATGCCTCTGCACATTTCATATCATCCTGTAAAACATTAAAAATATTTAAATAGCATTAGAAAGCCATCAGCCACTCTCAGAAGACCCTGACGGAAAAAAACTATAGATTAGCAACTCTAAGCCCTATGGTAGTATGGTGGGCTTTGGTTCAGATTATACCAAATAAGCTTATAACCTCGTAGAAAGTAATTTGAGAATACCTAGTGTGTTTGATTAAGGTTGTGGAATGTAATGTCAACGTGTTTGTTTGGAAGTCGAATTTTATTGTGTGCTGATTAACTTACAGAGATACCCATGTACAAGCATACAATTACACAACCACGGACGTGCATTCATATGAACAAAGCAACAAGTCCTTCATAACTAATACTGTCCTCCGTTCTTCAATAGTTGCAACAGTTTGACATTCACATTTGCCAACGCACAACTTTGACTGTAATTATATTTAATTAGGTATTAGTAAACATTATAAAAAGTTGATATTTTTTGGAGAGAATTCCCTAAATAGGAGTAAAAAAAATTGAAATTCCAAAATAGGAGTATCATGTTTTTAATTCCTTGAATATGAGTAAATTTCTGCCAAGTTTGGCATTACTAGGCTTTAAAACGTGACATTTTTTTCCAAACTTGGCAGATTACTCCTATTCAGGGAATAAAAAACATGATACTCCTATTTTGGAATTTCAAAACGTTTCTGCTCCTATTTAGAGCAATTTCTATATTTTTTATATTCACATTAATAGGGATTTAATAACATTTTATACCTAATAATTTGATTATTTATATTAGTAGAAATTTGTGATCAAAGTAAGGTATGTGTGGATGCTTGATTGGCATTCTAATCTTTCCGGCTCCTATCCATTAGGTTTTCATCAGTAAGATCATTATCCACAAAACGAAGATGACTAATTTTAAAATTTTATTATGTAACCCTAACCAGACACCCTTAAAGGAGTGGTTCAAGTTATCTAATATTTTCTAGGTGGCGTTAGAAAATTAATGTCAAATTACATACTTTGGTTGAGATACGATTACCCAACGAAGGGAATGCGTGATTGCAATGCTTAGTTAAATAATATTAATGGGGTAGTTTTACATTACAGCCCTATAAAATAACGGGGTAATATTGGGTAATATGAATACCTTGGGTTTCTTAGGTAATGTAAGATTACATTGACAATGTTCAACTACACTTAAGCATGTATTCTTGCATTTTATTTTACTTTAAACAGATTAATATTTACTTTTAAGATCCAAATATTTATGGTCCCGACAAAACACACAAGGAAATCATATATCCCTGTAGTCTTGCATCAAATAGGCAATCCTATTACCTAGGTAATCTTAGATTCTTGTAATCTCATATTACCACCTGAGGAACAATCATACATAAGGTGATCTTACACTCTGCATAACGAAGGCCCCATAAAGGTGAGCGTTTTTAGGTAGATAATGTCAGTACATGTCTGTCACAGTACCAAACAGCACATCAACATACCTTGATGTCAGCAAAGGCTATCTCAGGCTCCACCATCCAGAATTCTGAAAGATGTCTTGATGTGTGGGAATGCTCAGCTCGGAAAGTTGGACCAAAAGTGTAAACACTAGAAAGTGCACAGGCATAGGTTTCAACTTGCAACTGCCCAGAGACAGTCAAAAAGGCTTGACGAGCAAAGAAATCCACACTGTAATCAATTTTTCCATCCCTTTTAGGAAAACCAGCAGAATGCTTACATCTTTCTCCCAAATTGAATCTTTCTTCCAACTTTGCGAGATTCTCCTTAGCCCTTTTAAGCTCACCAACCACATCACTGATATGTTTGGAAATCTCTGCCACACCATCCCCGTCTTTTCCCAAAGTTGCCCTCTGAGATTTTAGATGAGAAACTGTTTCTCCCTTGTCCTGGACAAGTTTCTCAGCAGCTTTGATATCAGATTCAGAAGGAGGGGGGTTGTCTTTGAGGTCCCTTTCCAATTTTTCAGCGTCGCTGATCAATGTTGTGACTTGAAACATCTCACCAGCACCCTCACAATCACTAGTGGTGATGATTGGGGTATGAACATATAGAAATCCATGCTTCTGGAAGAACGTATGAGTAGCAAATGCCAAGGCATTGCGGATCCTAGCAAGTGCAGATATCTAATGGAAAGCACAAAAACAGGGTTTTTGAATCAGAACTCATAAATATATATATATATATATATACACACACACACACATATTACACACACATATATATAGGGTTGGGTTCTAATAAGAAGACATCTTAACGTGAGAAGTGAGAAGCTTCACATTTGCCTCTTTCGGATGCACTTTTTCGCTAATCTGATGCACTTTTTGCGATGGCATAGAAATTCTGATTAATTACAGAAATGCCACCGCGTCTTGCATCACGTAATTAATTAATCGGGACTTCTCTGCCATCACAAAAAGTGCATCAGATTAGCGAAAAAGTGCATCTGAAAGAGGCAAATGTGAAGCTTCTCACTTCTCGTGTTAAGGTGTCTTCTCATTTGATCCTTATTCTATATATATATATATATATATATATATATATATATATATATATATATATATGTAGGGAGTGGTTCCGATAAGAAAGACACAATTAATAGATACCGAGCCCACGATGCAAAAAAACGTGCTTAGTCTGCATCACATAGAATAATGTGATAGGGAACTAGGAGTAATAATTAAAAACTTGCAATCTTAAATAAAAAATAATGTGTATAAGTTTATACGGGATCACTGCTATCATAAAAATACTACTCCCCCATCCCATTAGAACACTTAGAGAATATTTAAGGCACACGCACGTTACGGTGAACGACCAACCTTGTATTAATTACTCAAATAATACACAGGACTATACACGCACTTGCCACGCACTGTCTCTACCAAAACTCGTGGCAATGCCGCAGCCTATTTATAAAAGGGCTAGGTCTAGAAGTTCTCATCAACTATTCTCATGTAAACGTAAAGTCTTCCTAATCTTTTACTTTACATATCGACTTTCAAATTTGAGTTTTTCTTTTGTGACATTATAAGTCACATGGGAAACTTTCTAAGGGATGGAGTAATAAGTTTAGATACCAATGTTACCATCAATGTAAAATGATTTAGGAAGTAAGAGAATATACAATATCTGTCCGGGAGCGAAGATGTACAAAATCTCGTACAAACTCAAGTGAGAGTTTAGTCTTTGGCAAAGGATATTTAGCAGCATCAACTGTGCCAACGGAGATAACCTTCTGAACTCCAAGCTCGATCTTCTCTGTCGAGGTTGAGGGGGGCAACTTCAGCACGCCTTCAACGTGAACGGATGTGCCGGTAGCAAGTACATCACGGAGCTTGTATACGGCTGCTTCTACCACGACCTGGAGAGACGCATGGCACGATCCATCATTCACATCCAGGAAAGCAATGGTTCCCTTGCCCTGTAATCTTCCCTTTTTAACCCATCCCCCTATCCTCACGACATTCCCAGCCAATCCAGCTCCGCCGTCCGAACGGCCGACAATAGAACAGATAAGTACCCGTTGAGAGAAATCGGCTTCTTGAACGGAGTCGCTTAGGGAGAGCCTCTCCACCGGCGGCGTGGAGTCAGCTGACATTTCTAGCTACTTTGGACGCGCGTGCTGTGAGGAGAGATCTTTTAAAAAATTTGTTTGTCGGAGTGAAGACGCCCCGCCCCGGTAGGGTTTTAAGTTATGCACAACGAACCAATAGGGAGAGAAGATCGGTCGTATAAATTTTGGGTTGGGCTTCAACTACGGGTGGGAAAACCCGAAGAGAAATTGACCAATAGGGTTTTTTCTTTTTGACCGGCTCGAATAAAAAAAAACGGGCCGAACCTGAAATTTTGGGTTCTTTAACGAGCCCTAAAATCTATAACCCGGCCCGGACCGAAACCCGAAACAATTAACCTTAATATAAAATCAATATAATATACCAATATAATTTATAAATTAATTCCTAATATATGATTATAATCATGATGGACGAAAAAATGACTTAATAACTTTTAGTGACTACAAATATGTTCAATTTATTTACCGTAATGACCATGAAAACATATTTATAGTAACTTTAGTCACAAAATATTATGATAATTGTCTTCTTTGGATTTGAATTCTAGGTGATTTTGGAGACTAATATTTGTGATTTTTATTAATTTTATTTGCGGTTTGTACTTTTTATTAATTTTATTTGAAAATAGATTTTAAAATATAAAAGAAAAATGAGTGATTTCACATTCAGACTTTAACTGACCCAACCCGAACCCGGACCGAACCTGGGCTACAAAAAACCCGACTCGGACCGAATATAGTGGGCTTTTTTCGGTCTCTAATTTTCATAACCCGATGTCTTACGGGTAATTTCCGGGTTTAGCAAAAACCCAACCCGGACCGGACCGATCCCACCCCTAGCTTCAACGGATCCTTCGCAACTCGCGAGCTAAACAAATTTCCCATCGGAGCCACTTTTATTTCGCACCAGATTATTGTTTTTTCACATCCTAATTTTCACTTTTCACTAGATTTTCACTTGTGCAATACACAAAATAAAAAGATATTAAATGAGTGTACTTCTCTTTTAATATACATTGTTTTTAATTGGGAAATAGATTTAATGGCCCAAGTGAGATATAAAAGAGGCAATCAATTTAAAATATAAACATTACTCCTGTTTTAGAAATCCTATTTTCATTGGGCAGCCATTTGTATTAAGAGGGTGTTGAGGTATATTACCCCGGTCTACTACTGTTCAGAAGTTCAATACATCGTCGTCGTACGAAGCCCGAATAACGAGGCCCATTTCAGCCTATGTGGCATGGTTCGGCCCTTTGGGCCCATTTTGGCCTACTTGGCCCATTAGGGTAGAATGTATCCCCTACCCCCTTTTAAATGGAAGGCCTTCCCTAAATGTAAAGGGTTGGTCTCTTCTTCCCCACTTCCTCCTCCTTCTCTCTATAATAGATTAGCTAGCTCAAAGACTCCATTAATGGGGGCTCAAGTGTACATTGTAATGGTGAGGGGGGTATTAATGAGAATGAGAGGGTTTAGACATTAGCTTAAAAAGTCTTGTGGTTTTCTCCCTTTCGAGTTTCCACGTAAAAATAGCATGTTCATACATATTTATACTATATTTATTGTATCGTGTTGGATTAAACTCAACACTGGCGCCGTCTGTGGGAATTTAGACGGGGTGTTTGTGATTGCTTCTACTTTAAAAATATGTTATTAGTGAATTTGGGAAAAAGTGCTCAATGGTAAAAGTTGACCGTGTTTGAGAAAAGGTGTTTTTGAAAAAGTAAAAGTTAGTAGTGTTTGGAAAAACAAGTGTTTTTTGTTTAATAGAAAAGTTAAAAAAAAATTATAACACACATCTACATGTTTCCAGCTTTTAGCTTTTAAATACTTAATTTAAGCAGAAGTTGTCACTTGAAAACACTCATGTGACCATCGCTCATTGTTTGGGCCCGGTGGCCCCCACGGCCTACACGACCTCCTCTTCTTCCCCTAGAACCATGTGATGTGGCCCGGCTAGCCCCTACTGAGGCCCCCGCAGCAAGTCCCCTAGGGTTGTTCCTCGTCGGCATACGTCTACCCTCCATTTCTACAAAGAAGTTTGAACGAGTCGTTAGACTCCAATCAATGTCAATTGACGGAACACGTTATAGACACGTATTGGCCCGAGTCACCGCCATACCAATTGTTAAGGGTACCATCTTAACAACTAGAGACCTTGCAACTTAGGTAACAATAGTCCTATAAACGCCAAAATACAATGCTCATGGTGTTCGGAAAAACTCTTTTTGTAAAATCTCTTGTGAAAGGTTGATTAGATAGTTTAGAACTGAGATGGCTCTGATACCACTTAATTGTCACGCCCCAGACCGCATCTAAGCGCGTGTACAGCCGCCGTATGACCAAGTGATGTCACTCGCAAGTCAATGTGACTTAATCATACAATGCGTCCATGAACATATTCCATCCATACTCAGTAGTAAACATATATAACAACATCACATTCAAACCAATGGATAGCGGAAATATTCAATGGTAAAGCATGGGCCACAACCGGCCAAAACATGGGCTCACAGGCCCAAAATAGTTTATAGTAAAACAAATATCCATGAGCAAGTGTTTGGTAGTTTGAAAGGAAATAAGGAAGCACGAAACCACGTCTTCCTTGGTTTGAGTTCGCCCGTAAGAAGGTGCAGGTAGCAAGCCCTAGCTTCAATCTGAAAATGGTGGGGGGAAGGGGTCAGTACAAGTACCGATCGAGTAGCAAGCTAAATGTAGAGTAACTAACGTTTCAAGTATAAGACCCAAACATAGGGTGATACATACATGTATAGTACTTTCCCTTAAGTTATGAAATGAAATGCATATCACTATATATATATGTATATATATACATACATATATATATATATATACATACATATATATATATATATATATATATATCACTATATATATATAAAGTGAAATGAAATACATATCACTATATATATATATAACGTTTCAAGTACTTTCCCTTAAGTTATGAAATGAAATACATATCACTATATATATATATATATAGGGTTGAGATCATATACAAAGTATGCTTCCCGTACAAAATGCAAAATCATCTCATCCGTTCGATATTAGTTGATCAAGGGTACACTTTTTTTGGAGCACTAATAGTCAACCCTATTAATGGAGGGAGTTATTTATCCTCTCACCAAAACATACGGATAAGTAGTTAGTGGGAAAGTTCTTCCATCCTCACCGTTATCTAATTAATATGAATGGCTAGGATTAGTTTGCACTTTGTAAATTAGGAATAGTTTGTATGTGATCCTAAATCTATATATATATATATATATATATATATATGGAAGAGTTCAAATGAAAAGTGATCTTCCCGTGCAAAGTGCAAAGTTTTCACTTTTTCATGTTTCGCTTGCACTTTTTCTTGTTTGCGTTGCACTTTTTGGCCATTTATATTTTGGCCAAATTCAGCCAAAATGACGGTGGCAGTTTTGTAAATACACCTGATGGAGTATATGGCCCGGGAACCCCCGGCCCACAGACTCCTACTACTCCAGCGAAGGCCCAACAGGCCCAGAAGGCCTAGCAGGCCCAAATCACAGCGCCCAGAGTGCCAAGCAGCCCGCACTACGCGCCAGGGGTGCCTTCGGCCCCCTGGCCGAAGGCTCTAAACTCTCACAGAACGGGTTTCTCAAGCAAACTAAGAAACTGGGAGAAAACGGCGAAAACAGTAGCCCTCGGTACTGTGAGCCCTCGGCACCAAGGTGCCCTCGGTTGGAGGAGCCTTCGGCTACTGCTCTGTGGCCGAAGGCATCTCACTCGACAAGATATCCGCCTCACATGCGTACAGATCACCGTACCCTGCACAGACGTCCCATCCAATAGCCGCATTAAATGCGGCCACATGCGGCTGCCAGCGCCAACCAGTTGAGGTGACCCCTCGGCCAATGAGCGCTTGACACGTGTCCCTGCCCGGCATTTATTGCTACTATAAATAGCACCTCATTTCCCCATTTGTAACCACGCTGAAAACGGCATTCACACTGAATACACTCTCTCTCTACTTTTACTTACTTGCTCTGACTTCTCTCTAAGTTATTCCCCGTAATAACCCCTCGGATAAGCTACCCCTCGGGTACACTATCCATCATTTGGTGCTCTCGTTGAAAGGTCGAACAATCGAGTAAGAAACCCTCCCCCTCGACCAAACACAAAACACTAGCCCTCTATCAAAATGGTGAGAGCAACACGTGCCAACTCAAAGAACGTAGAAGACAAGAACCTGGCCCTCGGCGACGTCAACGCCCCCGAAGCCTCTCACAGGGCTCCCGAGGGCGGTGTCATCGCTGGGCTGGAACAGGCGGCTGTCGACCTACGCCTTCAGATCCAACAAAATGCCCCCGATGCACGCCTCGGCATCGAGGCCAAGAAGAAAAACCGGAGCGATGACCAAGTCAGCCCTCCGGTTCTCACCATCGACGTGCAATCGACGCTCTCCGCCTTCATCCAAACGCTCACCCAGAACCCGGGTGCCTTCGGCACCCTGGCTCCAGCTCACCCTCAGGTTGGGGGGGTGGTGGCCCAAGATACGTCCTCCCAGGAAGTTCAGTCCCGGGACCGCCATAATGACAACAGGGAAAGGCCCCGTACTTCCGCCCTCAACCGGCTCGGAGGAGGGCCAGACCGCCGAGGGGTCCAAGACCGCCTCGGGGGGAAAGCACTCCAAAGGCCCCAGGAAAGCGGGGGATCTGTTTCGAGGGCAGACGAGGAGCGTCCCCCTCGGGACAAAGGCAAGGCACCCCTTCATGCCGATGACGCTCGCCACCAGATCAACCAGGCCCACTCGGCCCGGGTTCGTTCGCAGGGGGCGGAGACCCTCCCGAAGGATCCCCGGGACGAGATTATTGCGGCCCTCCAACGCCGGCTTGACGAGATGGAGTCCAACAAAGCTCACGCCACCACCTCCACCCCTCATTCAGATCTCAAATACGAGGCCATGATGGCCAAAATGGAGGAGTTACAGAAGAAGGTGGCCGAGGGCTCCGGGGAACCCATCATCCAGCTCCGGACTCGGACGCCATTTACCCCAAGGGTATTGGCGGCCCGGATCCCGGAAAAATATCGAGGGCAACATATACAGCCCTACAACGGAAAACGGACCCCCAGGAACATTACAGCAAGTACCAGAACAACATGATGAT